GGACATTGTCCCGGACAGAGGTTCCCCCAATTGAGGACAGCTTTGCAGTCTTAAAGAAAGTTAAATGCAAAACTTTAAGTGCGTAAAGAGACAAAATATTCCTTTAAAAAAAAGTTGTGGTGTCATATCATTCCCACAACAAATATTGTTAGAAATGGGTGTAATTGGCAAATCTCTTCTGCAACTGCGAAAGTTTGAATTTGGCTGAGAGATGGAGAAAGAGCAAGAGAGAAATGGGAGAAACTTTACATGACTCACAGGTATATTTGACAGATATCAAAAGGTCAAAACGTTAGCTAAGTTAGCTAGCTACAACCAATGGCTACAACTGGTAAAACTGTACATTTACCATGTCCATGGAGGATTAGCCAGGGTGCAACGTTAGCCATCTAAAATAGCTAGCTTTAGCTAGCTTGCAAATCTTTCCTTGATGTTCTTCTCCCCAATAAACCGCCGCTTTACTTACAAAAGTAAAACAAGAGTGCAGGAGAACCGGGACTACCACTTTACAGTCAAATCTAAAATAAAATTTAAAAATGTGTACATTTCGAGAAACTGTCGTTTTCCAGCTGTGTTGTGTAGGCTACTGGGCGCTCTGTCCCAATTGCCTTATGGAATGTTGACAGATGCGTTCGAAAAAGCTGGCTGCCTGCGCACAGAGATCTATTGCTGCGTGTGAAGCACAGATTCCAATCCAAGTTGTAGCATGAATTGATATGTCTACCTACTAATTTAGCTACTGAAATTAAAATACAATTACTGAACACATTGTTAATTGCTTAAAAGCTTTAAGGAAAAATATAATGGACATATTTTCAGGGTCTAATTCAGGTGCAATAATACTGGTTTTGTCAAATATGGTGGATTGTAGTAGGATACTGAAATAAGACAGGCCTACTTGTTATTTATTTTATTTTGTCATAATAGAAACATCAAAACAGCATTCAGTGGAACAGAAGAAAACATGCAGTACAATTAACAGTGCAATTAGCTAACAAATATAAAATATTACCATTAGAAGCCAACACACACAGCAAGCTACCATATATAATTAATTTAACCATTATTCCATTGTACTGCAGTTTTACTGCATTTTAAAGGTAGTTAAATTTAATTAGGGTATCCTTTATTATTGTACATGTTTATCTTACATGCTGGTAGCCTAGAACAAATGTTATGGAAGTGAATGCACACTTTTCAATTGGCTGGATTGCAACTACGAAAAACACTGCCACAGCCTGTAGTAAATGCAAAAGCATTTATAGCATCAGAGATTCTCTAAATTAGGGACCATCTCTGATCACTATAGGACCGCAGAGACTGTCACAAGTTTGAGCTTTTAATGACCTAGCGAATTCGATAACTTGGAGGTGAAATATATCACCTTATTGTAAAAAAATTAAATAATAATAATGTTTTGGTATTTCATCACCTGCTGAATAAAAACCTCAATGGCCCTACTCCTGAAAAAGTTAATCTGGCCAGATAAACTGAAGTGGACTCAGACCGAGTACCATTAGCTGGAGCCCAGAGTAATATGATTCTGCCGAACTTGGGAAGAGCTCGGCCCACATGAAGCCCCCTGAGTCCGAGTCAAGTCCCCCGGGTCTCAAACAGAATAGGCCCGAGCCCAGTTTGCTGACTGGGTACAGTATGCCACGAGACCCTAACCCGCTTTGGTGCGCTCTGTCAGCTGTGTGCTAAGATGAATCACGTAAACCCTGTGGAAAAAGAACATTACTCCAATTTTAATAATTGTAATGGTTCTAGTGTCTTATATGCAATGGGTGCATGGCCCACAAACACTATGCACATGTTTATATATACTGAACAAAAATATAAACACAACATGCAACAATTACAACGATTTTACTGAGTTAGTTCATAAATGGAAATCGGTCAATTGAAATAAATTCATTAGATCCTAATCTATGGATTTCACATGACTGGGCAGGGGCGCAGCTATGGGTGCCAGGCCCATCCACTGGGGAGACAGGCCCAGCCAATCAGAAGGAGTATTTCCCCACAAAATGACTTTATTACAGACAGAAATACTCCTCAGTTTCATCAGCTGTCCGGGTGGCTGGTCTCAGATGATCCAGCAGGTGCAGAAGCCAAATGTGGAGGTCCTGGGCTGGCGTGTTTACAGTCGTGGTCAAAAGTTTTTGTCAGATGTTACTATGGTATACTGAAGTATAATTACAATCATTCCATAAGTGTCAAAGGCTTTTATTGACAATTACATAACGTTTATGCAAAGAGTCAATATTTGCAGTGTTGACCCTTCTTTTTCAAGACCTCTGCAATCCGCCCTGGCATGCTGTCAATTAACTTCTGGGCCACATCCTGACTGATGGCAGCCCATTCTTGCATAATCAATGCTTGGAGTTTGTCAGAATTTATGGGTTTTTGTTTGTCCACCTGCCTCTTGAGGATCGACCACAAGTTCTCAATGGGATTAAGGTCTGGGGAGTTTCCTGGCCATTTCAATGTTTTGTTCCCCGAGCCACTTAGTTATCACTTTTGCCTTATGGCAAGGTGCTCCATCATGCTGGAAAAGGCATTGTTCGTCACCAAACTGTTCTTGGATGGTTGGGAGAAGTTGCTCTTGGAGGATGTGATGGTACCATTCTTTATTCATGGCTGTGTTCTTAGGCAAAATTGTGAGTGAGGCCACTCCCTTGGCTGAGAAGCAACCCCACACATGAATGGTCTCAGGATGCTTTACTGTTGGCATGACACAGGACTGATGGTAGCGCTCACCTTGTCTTCTCCGGACAAGGTGTTTTCTGGATGCCCCAAACAATCGGAAAGGGGATTCATCAGAGAAAATGACTTTACCCCACTCCTCAGCAGTCCAATCCCTGTACCTTTTGCAGAATATCAGTCTGTCTCTGATGTTTTTCCTGGAGAGAAGTGGCTTCTTTGCTACCCTTCTTGACACCAGGCCATCCTCCAAAAGTCTTCGCCTCACTGTGCGTGCAGATGCACGCACACCTGCCTGCTGCCATTCCTGAGCAAGCTCTGCACTGGTGGCGCCCCGATCCCGCAGCTGAATCAACTTTAGGAGACGGTCCTGGCGCTTGCTGGACTTTCTTGGGCGCCCTGACACCTTCACAACAATTGAACCTCTCTCCTTGAAGTTCTTGATGATCCGATAAATGGTTGATTTAGGTGCAATCTTACTAGCAGCAATATCCTTGCCTGTGAAGCCCTTTTTGTGCAAAGTAATGATGACAGCACGTGTTTCCTTGCAGGTAACCATGGTTAACAGAGGAAGAACAATGATTTCAAACACCACCCTCCTTTTAAAGCTTCTAGTCTGTTATTCTAACTATATCAGCATAACAGAGTGATCTCCAGCCTTGTCCTCGTCAACACTCTCACCTGTGTTAATGAGAGAATCACTGACATGATGGCAGCTGGTCCTTTTGTGGCAGGGCTGAAATGCAGTGGAAAAGTTTTTGGGGGATTTAAGTTCATTTTCATGGCGAAGAGAGACTTTGCAATTAATTGCAATTCATCTGATCACTCTATATGACATTCTGGAGTATATGCAAATTGCCATCATCAAAACTGAGGCAGCAGACTTTGTGAAAATTAGTATTTGTGTCATAATCTCAACTTTTGACCACAACTGTACATGTGGTCTGCGGTTGTGAGGCCGGTTGGATATACTGCCAAATTCTCTAAAACAAGTTTGGAGGCGGCTTATGGTAGAGAAATTAACATTAAATTCTGGCAACAGCTCTGGTGGACATTCCTGCAGTCAGCATGCCAATTGCATGCTCCTTCAAAACTTAAGACATCTGTGGCATTGTGTTGTGTGACAAAACTGCACATTTTAGAGTGACCTTTTATTGTCCCCAGCACAACGTGCACCTGTGTAATGATCATGCTGTTTAACCTGCTTCTTGATATGCCACACCTGTCAGGTGGATGGATTATCTTGTCAAAAGAGAAATGCTCACTAACAGGGATGTAAACAAATTTGTGCACAACATTTGAGAGAAATAAGCTTTTTGTGCGTATGGAACATTTCTGGGTTCTTTTATTTCAGCTCATGAAACATGGGACCAATACTTTACATGTTGCATTTATATTTTTGTTCAGTATAGATTGGTTTCTATTAATTGAGTAGGATTTAGATAACTGTTCAGATTTAAACCAAAAAACAGATATCAATCAAAATAAGATGTATTGAAAAATGCATCTTAATCTGGTTGTGATTTGGTTATTTACATTTAAATTTTTTTACATTTTAGTCATTTAGCAGACGCTCTTATCCAGAGCGACTTACAGTTAGTGAATACATTTTTTTTTTTTTATACTGGCCCCCCGTGGGAATCGAACCCACAACCCTGGCGTTGCAAACGCCATGCTCTATCAACTGAGCTACATCCCTGCCGGCCATTCCCTCCCCTACCCTGGACGACGCTGGGCCAATTGTGCGCCGCCCATGAGTCTCCCGGTCGCGGCCGGCTGCGACAGAGCCTGGATTCGAACCAGGATCTCTAGTGGCACAGTTAGCACTGCGCAGCAGTGCCTTAGACCACTGCGCCACTCAGGAAACAGTGTTATAAGACGTCTCGACCAGATTTCAACCAGAAAAATATGTCTTTATCATGTCGTATGCCCACTGGGTAGGGGTCCTTTTTTCACCCACGTTATCATGGTGTTAAAGGGATAGTGCAAGAGTCAGATGAACTCACGGATACAATTTTTATGTGTCTGCGTCCAGTATGATGGAAGTTAAGAGGTAGTTTCGCGAGCCAATGCTAACTAGCGTTAGCGCAATGACTGAAAGTCTGTTGTTCCGGTAGACTTCCAGTCATTGCACTAATGCTATTAAGCAATGGCTCGAGAAACTACCTTCAACTGTTTTCTCTGCAATTGCATCATAAACGCTACTTCCAGACCCTGCAGTAGATGCTCGATCGACCATAATGAGCTCTTACTGTGAACGTTTCATTAAAACCCACTCCTTTCCTTTATTGCAGGGGAAATGTTTGAAGACGTTGAAAGGCCACAGCAACTATGTCTTCTGCTGCAACTTTAACCCCCAGTCCAATCTCATCGTGTCTGGATCAGTGAGTCCTACCTGCTAATACACTAATGCAGCATTCCTATATTTGTACGTAGAAAAGGTTATTGCTAACCCTGATTTCTACCAAGTAGTGATGAATATTTGTTGCATTGTGTGCTAACATGAGTTCTCTTCTAGTTTGACGAGAGCGTGCGGATATGGGATGTTAAAACCGGAAAATGCTTGAAGACCCTGCCGGCTCACTCCGACCCAGTCTCAGCAGTAAGAGACTATGCACATGTAGACATCTTCAATGAACCTAAAAACAATCTACTTCAGATAATAGATTTTTCTGCTTATAGTAGTTGATTATCACACCATCTGGTCAGTCTGCATATATCTCTAATCTGCTCTATGTTGCCCTGCAGGTCCATTTCAACAGAGATGGCTCATTGATTGTGTCCAGCAGCTACGATGGCCTCTGGTGAGGGATTTTTTTCATTTTTTCATTTTGTTGAATGTACTTTGCAAAGATATGCCTGTAAGTGTATTAACTTGATGACCTAAAAGAACATCTGCGTTTTAATGATGGCTAATTTATCGTAAATATTATTTGGATATTGTTTGAGAAATTTATGAAACAGTATTGACGTTAATATCTCCTGTCTGTCCATAGCCGAATCTGGGACACAGCATCAGGACAGTGTCTGAAAACACTAATTGGTAAGCTTCACCAGCCAGAATGGCAGCATCTGTAACCAGGTTTCAATCCAACCATTTTTATGCGAGTAAAGTACTTGTCGGATAAAAGTGTCACAACAGGCCTGATGGAAACTGTCAAATTGTCGGTGAATGTCCTAAATGTTGACAAAATCAAATACGCAAGACGGGTGGATAATTTTCTTGTCGGTTATTAGATAATGCGACAAATGGCAGTGGAAACTATTTATTGTGCAATTGTTGATGGAATAACCATCATATCGAGGTAAATTTGCAGTCACGCGAAGCTATGTTGTGTGGTCCTCCCACTACCTGGACTTAAAAAAGCATGCACAGTTTATTAGGCTACAGATAAAATAAGTTATGATGAACTTCACAGGGTGGTGAAAGTGCATGGAGATGAGTTTGATGCTGCTTTCCTCAATAGATATCCAGAGTCTTAATTTGTTTGCTGGTGACATGATGATTGATTATTGGCTGCCAATTGACAAATAAAAATGATATCGCTCTTATCCATAATCTCATCATGTACCCTCAGCACTGTATCTGCGAGCTGTTGGCTAGAGCGCATGCCAAGACCATAGTGGGCACATTTGCTGTTCATCACAGATTTTGTTGTTGTTGTGACAAAACCATCAACAGTTAGAAATGGGATGGAAACGCATTGAATGTCTGCTTTTTTATTCTGTACATGAAAAGTTAAGTGTTTTTTGTGTTGCCTACGTCATTACGCACAGCCTTTTATTGGCAATAAGCCAGTTTGATGGAAACACACCGTTGTTGGTAAAATGTGCATGTTCTTTTGACTGAATATTAGAATATTTGCTTGAAAAGAAATTGCCACATTTATGGAAACCTAGCTATAGGAAGTATAACATTGTATAGTATTCTTCTGTCTTTTGCAGATGATGACAACCCCCCGGTGTCATTTGTGAAGTTCTCACCAAATGGCAAATACATTCTGGCTGCCACATTGGACAAGTGAGTGTTAGATTATCAGTAGAGCACTGTCACTTTCCCTCAAATTTAGTAGGATAAGACATATACAGTTGAAGTCGGAAGTTTACATACACTTAGGTTGGAGTCATTAAAACTTGTTTTTCAACCACTCCACAAATTTCTTGTTAACAAAGTATAGTTTTGGCATGTCGGTTAGGACATCTACTTTGTGCATGACACAAGTAATTTTTCCAACAATTGTTTACAGACACATTATTTCACTTATAATTCACTGTATCACAATTCCAGTGGGTCAGAAGTTTACATACACTAAATTGTAACAGCTTGGAAAATTCCAGAAAATTATGTCATGGCTTTAGAAGCTTCTGATAGGCTAACTGACATAATCTTAGTCAATTGGAGGTGTACCTGTGGATGTATTTCAAGGCCTACCTTCAAACTCAGTGCCTCTTTGCTTGACATCATTGGAAAATCTAAAGAAATCAGCCAAGACCTCCACAAGTCTGGTTCATCCTTGGGAGCAATTTCCAAATGCCTGAAGGTACCACGTTCATCTGTACAAACAATAGTACGCAAGTATAAACACCATGGGACCACGCAGCTGTCATACCGCTCAGGAAGGAGACGCGTTCTATCTCCTAGAGATGAACGTACTTTGGTGTGAAAAGTGCAAATCAATCCCAGAACAACAGCAAAGGACATTGTGAAGATGCTGGAGGAAACAGGTACAAAAGTATCTATATCCACAGTAAAATGAGTCCTATATCAACATAACCTGAAAGGCCGCTCAGCAAGGAAGAAACCACTGCTCCAAAACCGCCATAAAAAGCCAGACTACGGTTTGCAACTGCACATGGGGACAAAGATCATACTTTTTGGAGAAATGTCCTCTGGTCTGATGAAACAAAAATAGAACTGTTTGGCCATAATGACCATCGTTATGTTTGGAGGAAAAAGTGGGTTGCTTGCAAGCTGAAGAACACCATCCCAACCATGAAGAACGGGGGTGGCAGCATCATGCTGTGGGGGTGCTTTGCTGCAGGAGGGACTGGTGCACTTCAAAAAATAGATGGCATCATGAGGAAGGAAAAGTATGTGAATATATTGAAGCAACATCTCAAGACATCAGTCAGGAAGTTAAAGCTTGGTCGCAAATGGGTCTTCCAAATGGACAATGACTGCAAGCATACTTCCAAAGTTGTGGCAAAATGGCTTAAGGACAACAAAGTCAAGGTATTGGAGTGGCCATCACAAAGCCCTGACCTCAATCCTATAGAACATTTGTGGGCAGAACTGAAAAGGCGTGTGCGAGCAAGGAGGCCTACAAACCTGACAGTTACACCAGCTATGTCAGGAGGAATGGGCCAAAATTCACCCAACTTATTGTGGGAAGCTTGTGGAAGGCTACCCAAAACGTTTGACCCAAGTTAAACAATTTTAAAGCAATGCTACCAAATACTAATTGAGTATATGTAAACTTCTGACCCACTGGGAATGTGATGAAAGAAATAAAAGCTGAAATAAATCATTCTCTCTACTATTATTCTGACATTTCACATTCTTAAAATAAAGTGGTGATCCTAACTGACCTAAGACAGGGAATGTTTACTAGGATTAAATGTCAGGAATTGTGAAACACTGAGTTGAAATGTATTTGGCTAAGGTGTATGTAAACTTCCGACTTCAACTGTATACAGGACCACGTCATCTTTGTCATGTACTACTGCACCAGTAGAGGGCCCTATTAGACTGTGCAGTACCACTGGACCAAAGAGTTTCATTTCAATGGGAAGGAACGCTCAAGCAAATCTACAAAGAAAGGCTTCTTCATCACTCATAAATGCTAATTAATTATTCACCATTGTTTCTTTTGGGATGCTGTCTTCTAACAGTGATTTTAATTTTATTTATTTTAATTTGTAGCACCCTGAAGCTTTGGGACTACAGCAAAGGAAAGGTAAGATATGGCTAATTCATGTTGCAATTTGATCCAACATGGTATTGTGGAATGCTCTTGATTCAAAGGTTTCAGTTCTTTACATGTTCTCTTCAGTAAGTGTTCTCCTCTCATTTCAGTGCTTGAAAACATACACCGGCCACAAAAACGAAAAGTACTGCATATTTGCAAATTTCTCTGTCACCGGTGGAAAGGTAAACTCATCCCCTCTCTTGCATGCATGTCTAGAAATTGATTTTCGAGATGACTTGTATGCTTTTCCCAATAGCTACTTCTGAAGTATCATTCTCTTTCTTATGCTCTGTCTCTCAGTGGATTGTCTCTGGCTCAGAGGACAACATGGTGTACATCTGGAACCTGCAGACCAAGGAGATCGTACAGAAACTACAGGGCCATACAGGTAGGGGAGAGTCATGACAAGAGGTTGATGGAACTGGTTATTATTACTGTGAGGTGAAAAATTCTCACATAATGTCTGTTTCATTCTCTGCTTTTCTCTTCTCCCTCCCACCGTCTCTGTCCTAGATGTGGTGATTTCTACTGCCTGCCACCCCACAGAGAACATCATTGCGTCTGCGGCGCTAGAAAACGACAAAACAATTAAACTGTGGAGGAGCGACTGCTAAGCCCCTGGGCTTGCTTATTTTATTTTCATTTCATTGTACTTTTCATTTGACTGTTTCTAGCTGGACCCGAATGCCTTGGACTGAGCCTCAACTAGAAGAACCAAAGGAACTCAAGTCCAGAACATCACCACAACCACACACCTGCCCTTCATCCAGAACCAGTGCAAACCCCAACCCAACCACCACAACCCTCCGCTTGGTCTTGCTTGTGCCCTTACATGCTCTACTATCTCTGCCTTACTCTTACTGTTAGCTGGATGTTTGTGTTTCATCAATTGAAATATGAGAATCAACCTTTGTCATTCAGGAGGAAAATGGTCACATGGTATCTTATGCTTTACTCTATGTGTAGGTGTCTTAGTATTGATACACGCTTTGTTTTTGCCAGATTGGATTGGCCTCAAGTAAGTACTCCTATCTCCCATGTAAGTTGTTTTTTTTCTTCAGATTAACAGACTGCTTCACTGTTTGGTGTCTGATATTTCACTTTTACTAACTGTAAGTCTCATTGAAATGCAGTAGATTAGTAGCCTGGACCCAGATCAGTTTGTGGTGTCATGCCAAACATGTTGGTGACATGGTAGCACAAACAGATCTGTGACCAGGCTAATAGATGAGTGATAACTGTCATATTTCCAATATTCGTAATTAAACAGTCAGTATGAAGAGGAGTTGAAACAAAGCTTCGTACACGGGAGTGCTTGAGGTTCATTTTATGTTGTATTTATTATAAAACAATATTTTCAAAGCTCGGAATGCATCGAAGGGGTTATATACATTTTTTGACTAATTGGTGACTTTACTGTCCCTAGCAGGTGGATTTCCATAGCCATGTCTGGAGTTCATAGTCTATTTCAACAAGGAGTTTTTAGTTTTGCCAGCAGTTTCTCAACCACTTCTCTACAAGTCACTCAACTAACAGTTTCTCTAGTTTGGTATCGCCACTATGCTCGGACACAGCGAGTGCTGCCTTGTTTTGAACTCACTTGTACATTTTACTAGGTGTATTCTGATTCTGTATAATACATTGTTGGTGCTCAACTGATCCCTCTAGAATTCACATTACGTGTAAATGGTGGGTTGCAAAGTATATCGACAAGAGCCTACATTGAAGGTGCTCTTGCCTGTACTGTCAGTGCATTTACTGGTCTCAACTCCATTATATTCAAAGTTAATAATTCAAAGTAATGTTAATTGTTAGGAAAGAAATAAACCCTGAAGAGGCTGTTTTGTTTTTCATTTTAATTATTATTTTAGAATCTTTAATTTAGAGATGTATCCAGTCCATTGCCTTGCACTGTTCTTACATTGGTCCTAACTCCGTGTCTGGTTGTCATTACGTTAACACAACCTGGTTTAGATTTCAAAGCACAGTGACCAAATACAAGCATTTTTGTGCTCTCCATTCTGTACATATTACTACATCAACATATGTATTGTTGTTTTTTAAGACAAGCAATATTTTAGCGGTCTTTCTGTATCGTTCTCTTTTAACTCTGTCTTGATAGCTAGTAGTTCAATACACAACATGAACCTGTTTTACTGCTCTCTCTTTCTTCTGGATGTTCACAGCGCTGCAGTGGTATCAAGGACTGCATGAAATTCTGTATCTGCATTTAGTCAATCTGGATTTTGTGAATATGCGTTTGCATTTGACAGCTGTGACTTAATAAAGAGCATTTTCTAAGATGTTCAAAATATGGTAATCAGTGACACTTTCTAAACAAAGTCGCTATAACTGCGTGACGACGTTAGAGCCACTGAACATGCCAATTGGCACTTGTTTTTCTGTTACTCATTAGAAAACGAGATTTCATTCTTGGAGGTGTTTCCTAGCCGATTCCGCGTTTGGTTAATGATGCGTGACCCCCATGAGACGGAAGCAGAATGACTTTAAAATGACTCAAGAAATCTGTAATAAATGTTGACTTTTTTTTGCCAAGGATGTTTTAGTTGAGCAGTTTAACATCTTAAGGTTAAAAAATGTCTTACGTCAACAAAGTCGGAGCTGCTGGGCAGGTTTGTCTCACTGTAAACTATTAGAAAGCAATCTCCGCAGGTGTTCATCCCATGTTAGTGGGAAAATTTGACATAATCAAATCCAAACCCAACCTTCAACCCGTTGTGATGCACGTTCCAAACTCCGATGAGACTGACATGACCAAAATTATCCTATTTAAACTTTAGTCAATTTTTAATAACTGTTTGACTCGAATCGATGCCACATAAGCTGTATTCAAAGGGTTTCGTTGCTTTTTAAAAGTAATGTCCTATTAGGGGAGAGGACAACACATAACAGCACAAAGACAAAAGGAGCATCAACATTTACTTTTAGATTTTTTTTATAATCTTTTTGTCTTTCCATGAAAGATAGAATATCGGAGAACAACCCACAAAGAACAGATGACGTTTTCCATCTCGTTAAAAATGGACAAAAATGTAATGAGAGGACAATCCCATATTGTATCGATAGGCCAGAAAAGGCAAAGTATAGGCGACAGTTACCAGGGTGTCACGGCAACCACTCTGCTCACACAGTCCATTAGGTCTGATTTATTTTCTTCCCCATTTTAAATCAACATTTACACAAACAATGTATACAACAGCCCACGGGAGGAAAAGGGGAGGTACAGAGTACATAAGCAAGGGATAAAATTACCTTTGTACAAAAATATATATCAAGAAGTGTGTTTTTTCTTGACATTTTACTGAATGCGACAAAGAAAGCTGTGATTGTGTCATGAGCTCAGTGTTTCCTGATAACATTGTTGAACATACAAGTAGCTAAGCAACAAGTCGACTTTGGAGGGCTTCATGTCTTTTGTGTGTAATAACCAGATGTTCTGCTGTTTTCAGGTCCCATATAGAACAGATGTTAGCTGGTGAGGGTTAGGGCTTTGCGCTGCTGGTATTATGCTGGTTGATTTACTTTTGCTTACTTTTGCTTTTAGAGAATCAAGGTCAATGCAAAAAAAAACATGGCATTTGAAAAAAATCTGGTCTGGCTCAGTTTTAACTGAACTACTTGTCTCCCTGTTGCTAAATTAACTGGAAACACTTACAGAACGGATTTATAGATATTTATAAATATATACACATATAGACAAAATATAGCTTTATGGTATATAAAGCATTTTCCGTAGCTATTCATTCTAAGTAATCATTTCTGTATCAGTCCAGAGGACCCTTCTCTGTCCATTCCCTGCAGGAGTGAGCGAGCTTGCACACCTGCGTATGGCTTTAACGTACAGTATATACCTGGGGTCTCAAATCACATTAACCTGATCAAGCGCAGAAAAGGAGACAGACAAGTGAGCAGGTGTATATTAGGTGTACATCTAAAAAGTTGGACAAACTTGTTTGCAAATAAATGAATCATCAAAATGCATGTGGTTATTTTTCTGAAATGTTTGTTGAGGTGCAAACAGTTTGATTTTACCTACTCATGTTCCAGAGAAGGCAATTTCCAGATAACTACTTTTACTAGTGCTTAAATTGGAATCATTTGAACAATGAGTCAATTCATTGAATTATTATTATTTTATTTTTTTTTACAGACAATTACGATTAGTCTTGATAAAAATACTGTTAAGACAGAATTGGCCTAAACACCGCAGTAATTTTTTCTGTCTCCTGAATAGTTTAAAATAAGACCTAATGAAAATGCAATCACCTCTCTAAAATACATGAGCTAGATTTGGACTAAGGACGTGTCAATCAATCCTGCTGAGGTTATTGTCACTCATTCAATCTTTCTGCGAGCAAACACATTGAGGTTTTGACTGACCAAAGACAAAAATGAACATTGATAATGTCATGAAAAAGTGCAATTTCTGATTAAATACTTGTACAAAATTCAAGTAATGTTACAGTGCTGCATCTCTTCCACTAGGGGGAAGTCACAGCTCTCCCATAGTCACCAAATTCCCTATTCTCGCTGGTCAAACCCTCTTCTATCTCAAAGCAAATGTTCTAGTCTGTTTCTCTCTGGCTCTCCCTAGTCTGCTATCATAATGTGGACTGCCAAACTCGGTCCTGGATCTCTGCTAGAGTTGATTGAAATCCAAATCAGTCTGCTGTCATACATGACAGGGTTTAGCCACCCCTTTATAATAAGAACAAACCATACTATCTATGGACGATCTTTGGAAAAAAACGCTAGATGCATAGTTATGCAGCAGCTTGCAGCATAGAAAGAAAAAAAGCGCAATATGGGCATATAGCAGATTTATACATAACATTACATATTTAACATTTCAATTTTACTTAAATGAAACTGTGTTGTCCACAGAAGTGCAGGCAATGGATCCCTCTGAGGGTGAGGGGAGGCTGGGCAGTGGAGCAGTCAACGGTCTCTGTCTTCACCAGGCCCACATCCTCCAGTCAGAGTGGATGGATGGATGGCCTGGGCCTCAGCCTGGTCTGGCTGCCCCAGAGGTGAGATCGCAATGGAGCAGCATGGGCTCCGCAATAGGTTAAGTGGCAAGAAATAAGAGAACATCTAGCCATGAACATGAATGTATTGAAGCACTTCTCCCAATAACTGTTTGACATGGGGCTGTCTAGGGGGGTGATGAAAACAGAGGTAATTGCAAATTGTTTTGCAAATTCTTAAACATATACCATCAATACTGTATGTGGTTGTAATGTCCAGTACAGGTCAAAGGCCATTCTAAAGCTAGGTTACACTGTGAGGAACAGTATGCCTGGTTGCTGTGTGAAGGTCAATCATGGTGTGTTGAAATTCACAGAAGAGTGGAAACAAAAGGTCTCAGAGGTGGAGGGAGACATGACGAAGACATGGCATCACTTTAAAAAGCACAGTTCAGATCAGTGGACACTATTTCCTTACAGTACAGTTCAGTCAAACCATCTGTATATTTCTTCTTCATTTTGTGGTCACCTTAACTCAAGACAGGAAAAAGGAAAAATACTTGTAGTATGAAAACATACATCTGTTTGCTTTCCTTCCTGTGTCAACCTTCCAGAGCACACAGTAATGCACATGTAGTATAGGGCCTATGTAAGGGTGACTCCAGATACACACTGTGCCTAAAGCTTCTCTGTGCAGACAGACTAGGCCACATGAAGGTCATCCAGCTCTGGTCCAAAGAGGCCACACTGCAGGCTTTCACTCCAATCAGTCTCTAAAGCTATATGAGCCTCTGAACACTGGACCAATGTAGTGACGTATTGTCTTTCCTCTTATGTTCACACAGTGCTAATAGAATAAGGAGATGTGGAGAAACGGCTTAGTTTGGGTTCAGAGACCTGAGTGGAGCACCGTTTATCTGCATGGTCTCACCTCTGAGTCCTTTTCTACAATACACCTCAAAACAGACCCAACCGGACCAGTCCGGATTGAATCGGACAAGACTTGACCGGATTGGACCAGACAAGACCGGGCCTGGCTCCTCCCCTCTGCACACAGAACATTAAGTTAGTTCTAAAATTGAGACGGCTCCAATCAGAGCCAGGGACAGACTATGCAGCCCCGCCTCTCTTCAACAAGTCCAAAACACGATTGTCCCAATTACTACGCTGCTGAGCATCCTATGATGAAATCGCCACAGTTAAAAATACACCTGCAAACAGCTACGTGTTGCACCTGGTCTTCTCTGTTGTTGTTTCACCTTACAGAACAATGGCTTAAAACACTTATTTCCTCCTCGGTCCGTTTCATCTCCAGTCCATCGTTGTCTCTCAATTCCTCTCATGAGTTATATATATATATTTAGATTTATATATTTGTACAATATATAAAACAGACCCATAGACATTGAACTTTTTTTTTGAAACACATCAAAGAGGGTAGAAGGGGGGGGGACACATCTGTCTCTCAAGGGGGAATAGTGTCCAGGGGGGTTAGGGGCGGAGGGGGCGAGGGGAACACGGGTGACGCCCCGCCTGCAGTTATGTCATTTGGTGGGGCGCCTCTAGCATCTCCATGAGGAAGGTGTCGATGGGCGTGTCCCCGATGAGCTTGAAAAAGAACAGGTGCTCCAGACACTTCAGACCAATGGAGCGCAGGGCTGGTAACCGCAGCAACAACTTGGCAAACCTAACCCAATCAAATACACAAAACAGTGATTAACGTGACAAGATATTGTCTCATATGTTGATGTACAGTAAGTCATGAAAGGGTTGCCCATGACATAATTGGAACACCTGTCACATTCTGCACATATACAATACATACATAAAGCACTTTCTGCCAAACACACTGACAGACGAGTGGAGGAAGAGAGAGAATAAGAGAGAGAGATCTAATGAAAGAGAGGGAGGTGCGTGCATCCGTACCTGCCAGGCTGATCTGGGTATTTCTGTTTGCAGTAGGCCTCCAGAGAGGCGTAGACCTTCTCTCTCAAAGCCTCCACCTCGCCTGGGTTTGACAAGCCTTTAGAGTCTGAGGAGAGACACATACAGACACACTGCATCAGACAACCAGGCACAAAAGTCACAGGATATCAAGTACAGATTTATGTACATGAGCTTTGTGTGTACATTCTAGCTTGTGTGTATGTGTGTAATATAATATGCCTTTGTGTATGTGTGTACATGTGAGAGAGGCAGTGCTAGTGCTAAACTCAGTGGACAGGCTGGCTGCCCCTGAAGGCTAAGACCTGCATGCTGCCATCAGAAGACAAATCAAATCAACTGACATGTGAGCTGCCCTACTGCTCTGTGTCTCCTGTACAGTGTCTTCAGAAAGTATTCACACCCCTTGACTTTTTCCACATTTTGTTGTGTTACAAAGTGGGATTAAAATGGATTTAATTGTCATTTTTTTTCAACGATCTATACAAAATACTGTAATGTCAAAATGGAAGACAAATTCTAACATTTGATCAAAGAAAATATGAAAAATAAAACATATATCTTGATTAGATAAGTATTCACACCCCTGTGTCAATACCTGTTATAAACACCTTTGACAGTAATTACAGCTGTGAGTCTGACAGTTTTGCACACCTTGATAGTACAATATTTTCCCATTATTATTTTCTTAATTCTTCAAGCGCTCTCAAGTTGGTTGTTGATCATTGCTAAACAGCCATTTTCAAGTATTGCCAAAGATTTTAAGCCGATTTAAAGATGCACTCTCAATCCTTTGTATAATTTCAGCCAGTAGTTTTGAAAGTGGTGCTCATGAGCCAAAAGTGGTCCCTGTTTTTTGTGTACTACGTCATCAAATTGTGTACTACGTCATCATCTTTTTTATTTGTATGATATCCAATTCGTACTATATGTTACGACTTTGTATTGCGTAAGATCCTGGAAGGCATCTTTAAGTCAAAACTGTAACTAGGCCACTCAGGAACATTCAATGTCATCTTGGTAAGCAATTCCAGTGTAGATTTGACCTTGTGTTTTAGGTTATTGTCCTGCTGAAAGGTGAATTCGTCGTCCAGTGTCTGTTGGAAAGCGGACAGAAGCAGGTTTTCCTCTAAGATTTTGCCTGTGCTTAGCGCTATTCCGTTTCTTTTTATCCTAAAAAACTCCCTAGTCCTTGCCAATAACAAGCATACCCATAACATGATGCAGCCACCACCATGCTTGAAAATATGAAGAGCGGTACTCAGTGATGTGTTGTGTTGGATTTGCCCCAAACATAATGCTTTGTATTCAGGACAAAAAGTTAATATCTTTGGCACATTTATTGCAGTGCTTACTTTAGTGCTTTTTGCAAACAGGATGCATGCTTTGGATATTCTGTACAGGCTTCCTTTTCACTCTGTCATTTAGGTTATTATTGTGGAATAAATACAATGTTGTTGATCCATTCTCAGTTTTCTCCCATCACAGCCATTAAACTCTGTTTAAAAATCACCATTGGCTGGTTTCCTTCCTCTCCGGAAACTGAGTTACGAAGGGTGCCTATATCTTTGTAGTGACTATGTGTATTGATACACCATCCAAAGTGTAATTAATAACTTCACCATGCTCAAAGGGATAATGTGTCTGCTTTTTTCTACCAATCTGTGACCTTCTTTGCGAGGCATTGGAAAACCTCACTGGTCTTTGTGGTTGACTCTGTGCTTAAAATTCACTACTTGACTGAGGGACCTTACAGATAATTGTATGTGTGGGGTACAGCGATGGGGTAATCATAAAAAAATTATGTGAACCACTATTACTGCACACAGAATGAGTCCATGCAACTTATTATTTGATTTGTTAAGCAAATATGTACTCCTGAAATGATTTAGGCTTGCCATAACAAAGGGGTTGAATACTTATTGACTCAAGATATTTCAGCTTTTCAAAACAAAATACCACTTTGACATTATGGAGTATTGGGTGTAGATTAGTGACATAAAATCTAAATGTAATCAATTTTAAATTCAGGCTGTAACACAACAAAATGTGTAAAAAGACAAGGGGTGTGAATCGTTTCTGAAGGCACTGTACATATGCATGGTAATTCTCCCCATACACAGGCTGGATGAGGCTACACCTCTAGGCTACGCTTCTGATTCAACATTGATTGCAACACATTTCTGGGTCTGATTGGTTACCACGGAGCAAGTGAAAAGGCCTGAATACAGCAATACTCTCATCTCAGTGTGGGAAAGGACTCAGCCTCTCTGAATCCCAGCATTCCCCCAGCTAGGCCGTCTCTGTGAACTGCTCCTAATTAGGGGAAAGTAGGCTGTGATCTGTTCCAGAGCCAGGGCTGTAGCAGATTGACTCTGGAGCACAGAGGAGCAGTCTGTCCTGGGAGAATGAGGCCCGCCGGAGCCCCTGTGGGCCGGTGGCATGCTCCCACACTGCTCTTTGTCTCCGGGGCCATGGCACAGACTCATTAAAGACAGGGAGCGCGTCTGGTGCCAGCGGGGCCAGAGGGCTAGCAGAGGGCTGGAGGTTAGAGGCTATCTCTGGTGGGCAGAGTGTTGCGGACCACATAACCGCCATGCCACTTTCGTAGTTGGGAGAAACCACGGCAGGAACAAGGGTCTGGTGGGATGTGTGTGTATGTGTAGGCTTCACATGTATGCAAGTTCACTGGTATCACATGCAGTCATTGTTTGTGAGGTCAGAGTAGCGGGAACAGAGCCCTTTATAACATTATTATGATCTAAATAGAAGGCTCTGGATTAAAGGGGTGTTAGGAGTGTGTTTATGTGATACCTGGGTTGAAGAGGACAATGGCCCGAAGGCAACCCAGCTCTGTCTTGTCCATCTGCATGTCTCTCATCTTGGACACCAGTTCTGTGAGCACTCTGGATGGAGAGAGGGAGAGACATATACAGGCTCTTAGAGATCTGACCATCAGTCAGCAACACATTTGTAGGTCACCGTTCATTACACCCTCCCTTATCTACAGGTGTAACTCAATGGAAACTCAATACAAATCAATTCACAACACGGCCCCACTACCCTGACACACAGGGAATGTTCAACCAGCGGAAAATCTTACAGCCCTGCCTACATCACGCAATTCAAGCTGCTTAGAACATGGCTGAGAAAAGGACATCCATGAACGACGTAGCACAAACACAATCACAGACTGTAACACTGATGCTCCCACCGCCCGCATGTGACATCACTAGGTGGGGCGGCGTTTCGTTTCGGGAGTGTGACGCGACCGCTCTAACTCCTCACCCCTCTCTGACTCAGTCACGCCCGTTCTCTCTCGCTCTCCATTTCCCTCTGTCTCTTTCTCTCTCCACCTCCCTCTGTCTCTCTCTCTGAGAGGAAAGTCAATTTCAGCTCTTAGCTCATCCTAATTTAATTTGCCTGTAGGAACAATGAGGGTAAAAAAATACTTGAGTGTTTAAGTTAACCACCCTCTTCAGTTGTATGGCGGAGAGGAGAAGAGGAGATAGAGCTACATTATCAGTCATCTTAATGCTTCCCCAGTTAATGCAGAGATGTAATCCATCCTTTGGAAGTAGTGAACTGGCAGTATGCTAATCATTGAGCACAGACTCCCAGCTGGGGATAGAGGGAGAGAGAGATGGAGAAGGAGAGAGTGGGGGGGGGGGGGGGGGGGGGGGGGGGGGGGGGGGGGGGGAGAGAAGAGACAGAGGGAGAGAGAGACAATCTGTTGCCCTCAAAATAACACTTCAGTTGGCGACTCAGCATGCCAGGGGCCACAGGGTTTAGAGTTTACAATACTGACTATCTGTTGGATTGATCTCACACTGGATGGCTTTATCAACTTCTGTGTACACTGAGAAGGCATTCTCAATGCTGTTCTTTTGTATTCATCCGTCAAAAACATTTTGAAGGTCAATATCGTCTTCGGAATAGTCACAGCCTGCCGCGTGGGATTGCAATCAGAAGAGTGTGATTTCATCAGGAACACACATAAATTGATTTCTTCAAAAAATTCTGACAGGTCTCCATCTCCCTTTTCACTGTTACAGGTCAGGGTCTACTTTTCTCTCGCCCTACTTGTGGAAACTTAGTGATAAAGATTGCATAGCAACCAACAAAAATGTATTTCACAAAGTTGATTGTATCAAGGCTTATGAGGTAGTGCCAACAGGGTGATGATGACTACCTGTCAAATATGGCTCCCACTCCAGCACTGTGGGCGCTGTTACGATGGACGTGTAGCCCTGTTGCCAGGAGGATCCCATCTTTCACCGCTATCGAACGGTGCGAGAAGGATGCGATGAGGAGCTCGTTCCACCCTGAGGGAAGAGAGTGAAGAGAGCGAGGGGGGAGAATAAGGAGAGATGAAGATTGAAAACCTATTGCAAAGTTCATGTCGCATTCAACATTCAAAGTTGACAATTGAGTTGACAATTGAGTTGACAATTGAGCTGACAACAAGTGAAGGGAATTCCAATGAATCAATCTAGGCTGAATAGTCAAACCAGAAAGCTCTTTCATGCATAGGCTCTGGGTTATTAGCAGCCCATCTCAGATGTGCTTTCCAGAGAGATAAGTGTTTAACAGGGTAAACTGCGCCTGCCATCCCAATAAAGGTGACACACTTGACATGCCAAGCGAGGGTAAGACACAGAGAGCTCTGTGTCGTTTGAGTGACAGGGCTCCTTTAACTGTTCTCTCTGGCAACACTCTACACTTTTCCCCAGAGTTGAGTTGGGAATGAGAGTGGCTGGGATATTTTCGTCTGTGAGACAGCAGAACTAAACTGGTTATTTATAGAAGACCTGAGCTGAGCACTGAGAAGAAGAGAGAGGACCCTCTCAGCTAGCTCCAGAACAGCTCTTTCTGAGAAGGTCTCTCTCTCAAATCAAATGTTATTCGTAACATGCTTCGTAAACAACAGGTATGGACTAACAGTGAAATGCTTACTTACGGGCCCTTCCCAACAATGCAGAGAGAAAGAAAATAGAGAAATAATAGAAAAGTAAAACACATAATAATAAAGGTAATAATAGATACACAATGAGTAACAATGACTTGGCTACAGTACCAGTCAAAAGTTTGGACACACCTACTCAATCAAGGGTGTTTCTTTAATTTTACTATTTTCTACATTGTAGAATAATAGTGAAGATATCAAAACTATTAAATAACACATTTGGAATTACGTAGTAACCAAAAAAGTGTTAAACAAATCAAAATATATTTTATATTTGAGATTATTCAAATAACCACCCTTTGCCTTGATGACAGCTTTGCACACTCTTGGCATTCTCTCAACCAACTGACTCATCCCAAACCATTTCAATTGGGTTGAGGTGGGGGGATTGTGGAGGCCAGGTCATCTGACGCAGCACTCCATCACTGTCCTTCTTGGTAAAATAGCCCTTACACAGCCTGGAGGTGTGTTGGGTCATTGTCCTGTTGAAAAACAAATGATAGTCCCACTAAGGCCAAACCAGCTGGAATGGCGTATCGCTGCAGAATGCTGTGGTAGCCATGTTGGTTAAGTGTGCCTTGAATTCTAAATAAATCACAGATAGTATCACCAGTAAAGCACCCCCACACCATAACACCTCCTCCTCCATGATTTACAGTGGGAACACCACACATGCAGAGATCATCCGTTCACCCACACCGCGTCTCACAAAGACACAGCGGTTGGAACCAAAAATCTTCAGACCAAAGGACACATTTCCACCGGTCTAACGTCCATTGCTCGTGTTTCTTGGCCCAAGCAGGTCTCTTCTTCTTATTGGTGTCCTTTAGTAGTGGTTTCTTTGCAGCAATTCGACAATGAAGGCCTGATTCGCACAGTCCCCTCTGAACAGTTGATGTTGAGATGTGTCTGTGACTTGAACTCTGTGAAGCATTTATTTGGGCTGCAATTTCTGAGGCTGGAAACTCTAATTAACTTATCCTCTGTAGCAGAGGTAACTCTGGGTCTTCCATTCCTGTGGCGGTCCTCATGAGAGCCAGTTTCATCATAGCACTTGATGGTTTTTGCTACTGCACTTGAAGAAACTTTCAAAGTTCTTGAAATTTTCCGTATTGATTGACCTTCATGTCTTAAAGTATTGATGGACTGTCGTTTTTCTTTGCTTATTTGAGCTGTTCTTGCCATAATTTGGACTTGGTTTTTTACAAAATAGGGCTATCTTCTGTATACCTCCCCCTACCTTGACACAACACAACTGATTGGCTCAAACGCATTAGGAAGGAAAGAAATTCAACAAATTAACTTTTAAGAAGGCACACCTGTTAATTGAAATGCATTCCAGGTGACTACCTCATGAAGCTGGTTGAGAGAATGCCAAGAGTGTGCAAAGCTGTCATCAAGGCAAAGGGTGGCTATTTGAAGAATCTGAAATATAAAATATATTTTGTTTTGTTTAACAATTTTTTGGTTACTACATGATTCCATTTGTATTATTTCATAGTTTTGATGTCTTCACTATTATTCTACAATGTAAAAAATTGTAAAAATAAAGAAAAACCCTTGAATGAGTAGGTGTGTCCAAACATTTGACTGGTAGCGTATATATACAATGGGTACCAGTACCGAGTCAATGTGCAGGGGTACAAGGTAATTGAGGTAGATATATACATATAACTAGGAATAAATTGACAGATAGTAAACAGTAGTAGCAGCGTACAGTGAGGGGAAAAAAGTATTTGATCCCCTGCTGATTTTGTACGTTTGCCCACTGACAAAGAAATTATCAGTCTATAATTTTAATGGTAGGTTTATTTGAACAGTGAGAGACAGAATAACAACAAAAAAATCCAGAAAAACGCATGTAAAAAATGTTGTAAATTGATTTGCATTTTAATGAGGGAAATAAGTATTTGACCCCTCTGCAAAACATGACTTAGTACTTGGTGTCAAAACACTTGTTGGCAATCACAGAGGTCAGACGTTTTTTGTAGTTGGCCACCAGGTATGCACACATCTCAGGAGGGATTTTGTTCCACTCCTCTTTGCAGATCTTCTCCAAGTCATTAAGGTTTCGAGGCTGACATTTGGCAACTCGAACGTTCAGCTCCCTCCACAGATTTTCTATGGGATTAAGGTCTGGAGACTGGCTAGGCCACTCCAGGACCTTAATGTGCTTCTTCTTGAGCCACTCCTTTGTTGCCTTGGCCGTGTGTTTTGGGTAATTGTCATGCTGGAATACCCATCCACGACCCATTTTCAATGCCCTGGCTGAGGGAAGGAGGTTCTCACCCAAGATTTGACAGTACATGGCCCGTCCATCATCCCTTTGATGTGGTGAAGTTGTCCTGTCCCCTTAGCAGAAAAACACCCCCAAAGCATAATGTTTCCACCTCCATGTTTGACGGTGGGGATGGTGTTCTTGGGGTCATAGGCAGCATTCCTCCTCCTCCAAACACGGCGAGTTGAGTTGATGCCAAAGAGCTCCATTTTGGTCTCATCTGACGACAACACTTTCACCCAGTTCTCCTCTGAATCATTCAGATGTTCATTGGCAAACTTCAGACGGGCATGTATAAGTGCTTTCTTGAGCAGGGGGACCTTGCGGGCGCTGCAGGATTTAATTCCTTCACAGCGTAGTGTGTTACCAATTGTTTTCTTGGTGACTATGGTCCCAGCTGCCTTGAGAACATTGACAAGATCCTCCCGTTTAGTTCTGGGCTGATTCCTCACCATTCTCATGATAATTGCAACTCCACAAGGTGAGATCTTGCATGGAGCCCCAGGCCAAGGGAGATTGACAGTTATTTTGTGTTTCTTCCATTTGCGAATAATTGCTCCAACTGTTGTCACCTTCTCACCAAGCTGCTTGGCGATGGTCTTGTAGCCCATTCCAGCCTTGTGTAGGGCTACAATATTGTCCCTGACATCCTTTGAGAGCTCTTTGGTCTTGGCCATGGTGTAGAGTTTGGAATCTGATTGATTGATTGCTTCTGTGGACAGGTGTCTTTTATACAGGTAACAAGTTGAGATTAGGAGCACTCCCTTTAAGAGTGTGCTCCTAATCTCAGCTCGTTACCTGTATAAAAGACACCTGGGAGCCAGAAATCTTTCTGATTGAGAGGGGGTCAAATACTTATTTCCCTCATTAAAATGCAAATCAATTTATAACATTTTTGACATGCATTTTTCTGGATTTTTTTGTTGTTATTCTGTCTCTCACTGTTCAAATAAACCTACCATTAAAATTATAGACTGATAATTTCTTTGTCAGTGGGCAAACGTACAAAATCAGCAGGGGATCAAATACTTTTTTCCCCTCACTGTATGTGATGAGTCAAAAACATTAGTGCAAAAAGGGTAAATGCAGTAAGTCCGGGTAGCTATTTGGTTAACTATTTAACTAACTATTTAGCAGTCTTATGGCTTGTGGGTAGAAGCTGTTCAGGGTCCTGTTGGTTCCAGACTTGGTGCATCGATACCGCTTGCCGTGCGGTAGCAAAGAGAACAGTCTATGACTTGGGTGGCTGGAGTCTTTGAGAAATTTTAGGGCCTTCCTTTGACACTGCCTGTTATAGAGGGCCTGGATGGCAGGGAGCTCGACCCCAGTGATGTACAGGGCCGTACGCACTACCCTCTGTAGAATCTTGTGGTCGGATGCCAACCAGTTGCCATACCAAGCGGTGATGCAGCCAGTAAAGATGTTCTCAATGTTGCAGCTGTAGAACATTTTGATGATCTGAGGGCCCATAACAAATCTTTTCAGAGTCCTGAGTGGGAAGAAGCGTTGTTGTGCCCTCTTCACGACTGTGTTGGTTTGTTTGGACCATGCTAGATCCTTAGTGATGTGGACACCGAGGAACTTGAAGCTCTCGACCCGCTCCACTACAGCCCTGTTGATCTGAATGGGGGTGTACTTGGCCCTCCGTTTCCTGTGAACAGGAAGTATAGGAGGGGACTAAGCACACACCCCTGAAGAGCCCCTGTGTTGAGGGTCAACGTGGTGGATGTGTTGTTGCCTACCCTCACCACGTTGGGGTGTCCTGTCAGGACGTCCAGGATCCAGTTGCAGAGGGAGGTGTTCAGTCCCAGGTTCCTTAGCTTAGTGATGAGCTTGGAGGGCACTATGGTGTTGAACGCTGAGCTGTAGTCAATGAACAGCATTCTCATGTAGGTGTTGCTTTTGTCCAGGTGGGAAAGGCCAGTGTGGAGTGCAATAAAGATTGCGTCATATGTGGATCTGTTGGGGCGGTATGCGAAGGAGTGGGTCCAGGGTGTCTGGGATGATGGTGTTGATGTGAGGCAGGACCAGCCTTGGCTACAGATGTGAGTGTTACGTCACTCTCTCCATTACTATGGGTACCCAGAAGGAGAACGGTAAGAGGGGGTAGGAGAAGGTTAGAGAGATGGATGGGCTTCCTTAGGGTGAGTTTGGAAGTGAACTGTGTAATTTCGAGCCACAAGCAATCAGCAAGGGCAACATATAGGGAAAACACTGAAGATCACAAATTATGATAGCATACATAAAGAATATGACAGATGATTCATCAGGCTAATAGCCTACAAAGCCCATAATGCCTATTGGGTTCTCAAACGTTTATGGTCGTGTTGAACTGACCTGCTCGTAGGAGGATGACCTGGTCGTCCAGGGGCAGCTCAGAGAAGTGGGGGATCCTCTTGGCCCACTCCACCAGCGTGAAGAGCTGCTTGTCGGCTGCTTGGCAGATGTTAGTCACCGGGTCGTTGGGCTGTTGAAAGACACATGGAAAGGCTTGCTGTCACAAATACAGTTAGCACAGAAATACTGAAAGATACGTTGTGACGTGTGAGGTTGTGTGTATTCGTACTTATGCACTCTGTATGTGCATATGTGCATGTGCATGCTTGCTAAGTGTATGTTTTCCAGTCACAGCAGTGCACCACCGAGTTATAGAGGAGCACAGGCCTGCTCCGCTCCCTGTTCCTTCAGGACACTTCTAACGACAGAAGACCATTTGGAGTGTTCAGACAGAGAGCAAAAAGAGGTTGAACTGACACACAGTTAAGGAACAAGTGTTTGGGCGTTCAAGTGTAAATTCATTTCATGAGTGAGAGTGTGAGAATGGGTCTTAAGAAATAGTATGCTCACTCACCACGACACCGGGGTTATATTCCTGACCTCAGACAGAGTAAAGTCTTGATGAAAAAGGTCAAATGTACAGTATATTGTCGAAGGCTAAAAAGTTAGCCTCTCATGTTCAAGAGAGAGGAAAATAGACAGTGTTTATGCTTTGAGTTAACATGAAAAAGAGACCTGAAGAGAGAGGAGGGACGTTAAAGCTGAGAGAGAGAGAGAGAGAGAGAGAGAGAAGAGAGAGAGAGAGAGAGAGAAGAGAGAGAGAGAGAGAGAGAGATAGAGAGAGAGAGAGAGAGAGAGAGACAGGAGAGAGAGAGAGAGATAGAGAGAGAGAGAGAGAGAGAGAAAGAGAAAGAGAAAGAGAAAGAGAAAGAGAAAGAGAAAGAGAAAGAGAGACCGTAGGATGGAAATGTGGATGTGAATGGAAAAGGACAAAGAAACCTCAAGTGTCAGAAGCCATCAAACTGAAGGCCTCACTTAACCTGGGAGGAAACCATGGGCAGTGAAGAGGACAATAACTTCTAACGTATACATACCAGTGATGTGCAGTCAGAGTAGGCATGGTATGCAGTGCTTACCCTGTGATAATCTTATTTTAAAAAGCTGTTATGAAAAGATCTGAATGATTCTTGTGATTTTTATGTTTAAAATCTAAAAATTTGCCAAAACGGCATAAATACCTCAGGAAAGGTGCCAGGGTATTCATGCCTTTCTTTCCATCCATTCAAATTGTTGGGGCGCGCAGCCGTTCCTGACTCCAGTCACTGTTAATGGACAGGGTCAGCGTAGGCGTCGCTGCTTTGCCTAGCTTGAAGTAGCGTCATTCGCTGCATTGAGCCGATTTCATATTTTGCGCTTGCATATTGCCTAAACATGTTGTGTGGGTATTAATTAACCTGGGGTGAGCTCTGCACATTTGGGCATGTCTACATCATTTTGCGCTCGCATCCCTTGAACTGAAGGAAGCTACCTAGCTAGCAAAAACAACCTGACAAATAGACACTATACTGCACCTCAAACAATTTCCCAAGTTGTAATAATGTAATGCGCCGTTTGGAGGGTTCGAAGAGTGGAACGTCAACTATAATGAAAGTTAAGACCAGACAGAGGCAGCATAAAGCAAACAACACGTGACTTTATTCATGGTCAGGCAAAGCAACCACCATCTCCCTCACTGCTAGATGTCGGGCAGGCGAACAGTGAATACTGGACTGTCTACTTGTCTGAAACATCATTACCAATTAATACTTTTTACTCAGACTTTTACACATCTTGGACATTTACTTGACTTCTACAAGATGGATGCGACTAACTACAATGATTCTACATGCTTGGCTGCATAGGGGTGCACTTACGCGTGAGGCTTCTGCTCTCCGACCGGCTGGATGCCCTAATGGATGGAGCTGCCTACCTGTATGCTGCGTGGGAGAACTGTGCTACCAGCTACTGTTTGTGTGTGTGACCTTTTGTGTCAGTGTGAAAATGGAACGGAAGGAAGCCTTGGGGACAGTGGGCCTGCTGTGTGCATGCAGAATAAAATAATGGACATGGGGTTCTGCTGTGACTTCTACAACGCTGTCAATGAGAGGTTCACTGGCCTGAAGGACAGACAAATGGACTTCATTACAAGTAAAGGTAGGCCTAAAAGCATTCCTTTGCAAGTTAGCCTACTGTTGAATGAACATGGTATTACACAATATCCATTTGATGCATTTCATTTATCAAGCTAGAATTTCATTTTGATGAGGCAATTTTTTTATTGTGTGTGTGTGTGTGTGTGTGTGTATGTGTGTGTGCACGTGCAGTGCATTGCTAGAATTGTTATTTGGTACATTGGTATTTACATTTGGTGAATTTTTTTGTACATTTCGGTTAATGACTTACAGTGCCTTCAGAAAGTATTCACACCCCTTGACACTCCAAATTGAGCTCAGGTGCATCCAATTTATTTTGATCCTCCTTGAGATGTCACTACAATTGTATTGGAGTCCACCTGTGGCCAATTAAATTGTTTGGAAATGAAATACACCTGTCTATAAAGGTCCCACAGTTAACAGTGCATGTCAGAGCACAAACTATACCATGAACTCCAAGGAATTGTCCGTAGATCTCCGAGATAGAATTGTGATGATGCATATATCTGGGGATGGGTATAAAACCATTTATAGAGTGTTGAAAGTTTCTCTAGACTCTGCCTAGAGCTGGCCATCAGACCAACCTTGGTCAGGGAGGTGACCAAGAACCCAATGACCACTCTGACAGAACTACAGAGTTCCTTGGCTGAGATGGTAGAACATGCCAGAAGGACAACAGTCTCTACAGCACTTCACCAATCTGGGCGGAAAGCACTTCTGAGAAAAAGCACGCCTGGAGTTTGCAAAAAGGCACAGGAAAGACTTATGTGGTCTGATGAGACAAATATGTTACTCTTTGGCCTGAATGCAAAGCACTATGTCTGGAGAAAACCAGGCACAGCTCATCAACCATCTAACACTATCCCTACCATGAAGCATGTTGGTGGCAGCATCATGCTATGGTGATGCTTTTCAGCGGCAGGGACTGAGAGACTGGTAAGGATAGAGGAAACAATGAATGGAACCAAATGCAGGCAAATCCTTAATGAGAACCTGCTTCAGAGTGCAAACGTCCTTAGACTGGGGCGAAGATTTACTTTCAACAATGACCCCAAGCATACAGCCAAAGCAACGCTGGAATGGCTTCAGAACAAGAATGTTAGTTAAGCTAGAGATATCAGTGTTTTTGCACTGGATGTTTCTCAATCCACCGCATCTGCCAATGTACCACTTCCACATCTGCAGTGAAAGGTGAGACCATGTGTTTGTCAGACCATGAGATATCCCAAAAAACTTTAATCTCACAAAATTGTCTGTAGCGTCCGAACGGTTTTTGCTCTACGACCCCCACAAGCGTGGGGGTTGATAATAGCCAGTGCCTACCCAGCCACTGACCTCACCGCACGTCACGTCACAGGGTCTGATTCTGATTCTGGTGACATGAAGATCGATGCTTGACTGCCATTTGACAAATAAAAATATTCCTCACTCTTATCCATAATAATCTCATAATGTAGACTAGCCTAGAACCTACCCGCACAGCCCTCCCACACTATCTGCAAGCTGTTGCTTAGAGCGCACATGCCAAGACCAGAGTAGGCACATCTGCTATTTGTGACAAAACTATCGGTAGCGTTGAAATTGCAATGGAAACACCTTGAATATTAGATTTTTATTCAGTACATGAAAACTTAAGCGAAAAAATAAATTTCGTGTGCATTACTTCATCAGGCACTGATTTCTATCTGCAACATGTCAGTTTGGTGGAAACACACAACTGCTGGGAAAATGCGTATATTTTCTTTATGCAGATTTTTGAATATTCGCTTGGAAATCTGTCCCAAAGTGGACGGAAACCTAGCTAGTATTATCAATCACAAAAACATAATGTTAACTGGGGATGGATAAAATTTATATTATTATGATGCTCTGTGAATAACTGCATACCAATTCTCTGTATGTCTGAGCCAATTCTACAACAACAAAAGCCTGGTAAACTTTTCCCCAACTTCTCTCTCTCCCCAAATCCCACAGATCGATGCTGAAAGCTCGGAGGATCCCAACATGAAATGCAGTTCTCTGGAGAAGATTAGTGTAAGATGAAAACTCATTCCACCTCTTCTTCTTTCCAGTCTTCCTCTACTTCTAATGCTCAGACCGAAGACTACCCACTCTATCCCCCCTCCAATCCTCCTTCCCTATAATGGGAAACTCTCACTCACTGCTGAGAATCAGAGACGACCGCTTGAAATTTGAAACAGTATGAAACAGTTAACCAGACACAAAGCCGGCACTGTTTTGAAAACTGAAAGTAGATTTTCTTTGGGTGGAGTAAAAAAGAATCTTATAAATATTTCAGCATCTGATCTCCGTGGGAGTCGTTGTGGATGATGCGGCTCAGCGCAACAGTTTTTTGCCAGTTTTTCTCTTCCAAACCCATAAACAAATTAGCTAATTCATTCCATAGGAAGCTGCAGCCCAAACAAAGCAAAACAAAAAGGGGCTGTATGTTGTGTGTCTGCCGAGGCCCTTCAAAAGAATACAACTCCCAGAGTTCTCGTTAAACACGGTGAAGGCTCATGAATGTTGCATGGCTCTCTTAGCCATGTTTACACTGACCTCGTTTCTCACTCTATACACCATGAAGATGACAGGAGAGAACAGACCACGCTCCTGCCATGACCACATATTAACTCACTGTCCTTACTGTAAGGTGACAGCCGTCAGGGGATGTTATGGGGTGTCACAGCAGAAGAGACCACAATGACTTCCGAGGTCTGGGAGAATGAGAATGACATGAACCTAGGAATTCAATATTCTGTGCATGTGTGGAACAAGCCGAGAGGGACCACCGTGTCTGTGAGAGAAACTATTTTACATTCCTTCTCTGTGAACATCCTTCACTCTGGAGGATAGGGGGTCAGCTGATCGCTTTCTGAAAACGTGTTGAGCAGGGGGTGGAGAGAGGGAGAGGAGAGGCGAAACCCTGAGGGAGAGATGTAGAGAGGGAGTGAGAGTATTTGGGCATATGAGAGCCGCTTTGAGGACACCTCTTAAT